AATGCTTTTTCGTGTCATTCCGTTGCTTGCCGGATTTTTATTGTTGTGTCGGCATGTGTTCCAAACGGTGTATAAGTAGCGTAGTTGTGGTATTCGCATGCAATATTATTTGGTAAGCACATTTTTATTGCTAAAGGGCGCGACTTTCCAACACGAAAGCGGGATTGTGCTTACATTTGCTCCTTGCGTTTTGTTTTTTGGTAAAAGTGTAAATTATTTTATTGAACGGCTGAAGCTCTATATTTGTGTGTGGTTTCAAAGTCAGCAGCAGCAATATGCTATGTATTGGCAGACTTGAATAAGTATGTATGTATGTACATATATCACGTAGATACACATGTACATTTAAATAACAAAAATGCGCTCCTTTAGCTTTCATCCTCCCACACTGACAATTTCCACAGAAAACTGTGAAGGAGATAAAATTTTTGATTGTTTTTCTCTAACCATTTTTTTTACCCTCTACTTTTGCCTATCGCCCACAAACACAAACATAGCTACACAATCACGAAACTCCAAAGCTCCACGTTGGATTTTGTGTACATCGAAAGTTAATGGCATAGAAAACAATTCTTTTGAGGCTGTTTAGTGGCATATTCTCGCTGTCTAGTTTATTTTATTTCTCATTTCTCCTCTTACGCTTTCTGTTTTCATGCACTCACCGCTCGATTTGAATGGCTAATTAGGTTGTGCTTTGGTGCTTTTCTAGCTTGTTTATGACTTTAACGGAAGCACAAGATTTTGGTTTTATCTGCACACTGCCGTTAAAGGAGTGAAAGTAAGGTTTTATGTGTTAATTTATTTCAAGCAACGTGATTTAAGTACTTTGAAAAAATGTATGTTGCACAAGGAAAATTCTTAACAAGTAAGAAAGTCTAAGTTCGGGCGGAGCCGAATATTAAATACCCGGCGCAAGTATTAAATATATGTTTTCCACCTTTCCGAAAGCTACCGCTACATGATAAGCCGGGGTGTATACATTTTAAGTAAATTAGCGTCCTTAAATTTCGAAATATTGAAGTTTCAAGCATTTGTGAAATTTGCCGTTATATGAAAAGTGGTCGTAATTTTAATCTGATTCCAATAATTTTCAACGTTTTGCTTCTATGTGGCAAGCACAATAACCACACCGAGCTTGGTACAAATTGCTATAACGGTTAGCGAGATACATATATGTGATCACAAGTGGGCGGTACTACGCCCATTTTCCAAAATTTTGTCATAAACATATTTCTTGGTAAAGAATTGTTGCAACCATCAATTTTGAATAAATTAGCTTCAATATTTACTGATTTATCGAAGATAAGGCCAACAACTGCGCCAAGTTTGGAAAAAATTGGTGCAGCGGTTACCAAGATATACACATGTAACCATAAGTGGGCGTGGCTACGCCCATTTTCCAAAAATTTATAATATTCATGTTTTCCGTCTGAAACTCATTGTAAGTATCAATTTTGAGTGAATTATCTTCAGTAGTTACTAAAATATCGCAGTTTTCGTATTTCTTAAAATTACCGTTATATGGGAGGTAGGCGTGGTTATTGTCCGATTTCGCCCATTTTCAATACCATCCGTCCTACGCCCAAGAGAAGTTCACGTACCAAGTTTCGTTAAGATATCTCAATTTTTACTCGAGTTATCGTGTGCACACACGGACGGACGGACGGACGGACGGACGGACGGACGGACAGACAGTCACCGCTTAATCGATTTCTCTTTTCATTCTGATCATTTATGTATACATTTGTCTATATCTATCTCGATTCGTTTTGCCTGTTACAAACAACCGTTATGTGAACAAAGTTATAATACCCTTGTGCACAAGTGCGCTCGGGTATAAAAAAAACTATGTATGTATATGGTTTAAAAATATTTAATAGGATTTTTATTGAACAAAAAAAAATTATTAGCTTGGCCTTATTCGTCAAATCGTGGTATCCGGAACTCTTTTGTTAAGAAGGAAATTTCAGTGGAACCCGTGAAACCCAGAGCTAGATGGTTGTGCAGTGACCACATTTATTTAGTTAGTTATGGAATTGATTGTGAGAAGATTTTGTGTACACCATTGATAAGTTCCTAACTCTGACGGGCTTAGATACTATCAGACTCCACAACAAAAAACCAACAATGTCTTGGTTTGTGACTTTGCTAGAATACGGCTGTTAACCCTCAATTCTGCGCATAAAACTATGCCGCAAAGTCTTGATTTTAAGCGGTTTAAAAATGCAAACAAAATTAGTTTTGAATTGCTTTGAAAAGTATTCAAGCTTCACTACCTATCAAGTGCACACAAAAGAGTGATAAGTAATAGAAAGCCTTCGAACCAGTCAATCTCTCTCTCTTTTAATAACTTCATTAGCATACTTGAGCCGCATGCATACATAGCACTACATAACATACCCGAGCACTGGTCAAATTAAATAGCACACTCAAATCGTAAGCACCTACTTAATTCATAAGCAACCAACCAAAATCAGCATACATATATAGATATGTACATATGCAGATAAGATATAAATTCATATTCTATAAATTAACCCACGAAATAAATACATACATAAGTACATTGAGGGAACGCATCTCCTTTTGCATTATGCAATATGTAGATTAAATATTCACCTTAAGAATATTATTTTAGAGATTTCAATTTGCCAAATGTGCGCACACGTGCCTGCCACAAATGTACTGTTGCAATCAAAACACATGCCCGCAAATACCTTTAATACCGGAGGGGAGCGGAGAAGAGGCAGATTAAAAAGAATACTAAGACCAAGACCACGACCAAGAAGAAGACCAAAGTTGATGCAAGTCGGTTTGGCACGTTCATTTCGCATGAAACCAACACAAATGCACGAATGCGTAATTTTGGGCGAATATTTGCTGGCACGTATTTAACAGTAGTCGTGGAAAATAACAAACCTACAGAGAAGCAGCCGACAGACATGCTGGCAGACAGGTATTCGTAGACAAATTGCACGAAACCTGACATGCTAACGAAAGAGGTGAAAGGAGGAGGCATCATGTGTGTACTACGTGTGGCTGAGAAAGACGGTGGCGTATAAGATTTGCAGAGCTAAGCAAAGATGAGTGCATTCAAAGCAGCAATTGGGTAGATGCTTCACTTCCCATACATATGTATGAGCTCATCTGTCAGACTGCTGTTTTTGTTGTTGCTATTGCTGTAGCTCGGCAATTCTCATACGAAAGAAGCAACACAAATGTAGGAAAAACTATCGGCAAACGTAAGCAAAATTTTCTTATTTTCGTACAAACATACATATGTATGTACATGTACATTAGGTTGGTCCAAAATATAAGTTTTTCACCATTCCCAAAAAAGTGAGGAATATTATTATTTTAAAAATCGAATTAAAGAATATTTTGAAATCGGTTAATATTTAACCGTACCGCGGCACAGTGGGAAATGAGCAGAATTAATTCAAATTGTCGAAGATTTTCAAGGCACAAATTAATTAAAAAAATATACACGGATAGCTTCCTACATACCATTACTATATGACTTACTACACAAAAGTCGAATAGGACTAATTTTGCAAGTAATTAGCTCGAAAATCAAGCCATAAAATATCTATATGAATATAACATGGGTATTTCGAAAGTGGCGTTACGTGACGCTCGTTTGACAAAATGTTAAAAAAAAGAGAATTGAAAAGGTCAAAATTTTAAAAAGGTTTTCCTATATTTGCATAGCATTTAAACGGCATTTAATTAAAAAAAATTAAAACTGTTGTAAAACTGTTATATAAAAGCTTTTGTAGAAATATTGGAAATGTTGAAAGTTAATTTTCCAAGTTTTGAAATATAAAAATCTTTTCTGCTTTATGTTTAGTCAGCTGAATTATCTGACGTGACGTTACTAAAATTTGCATACAAATAGTTCTGTTAATATTGTTCTTGAAAGAATTTCTAACGGGAAGAAAACATGCATTTTATATTGAACGTACTTTTAAGCTTGACATCATAGCCACCAGCGGTATATTTTTTTTTTTTTTTGCAAATCAATGTCCTACTACGTTTCAACTAAACATGCCAAATGTTCAGAGCATAAATACGGTTTTTCAAAATATCTCGACTCTGACGCCTCCTAATAATTTTTTTACGCGGTAGACTTTTCCCTGGATTCGCACAAAAATATTTTAAAGTTTCGAGCCCTTGATAATTGATTTGAACATTTTCAAGTTACGAATTTCGGTATAAATTTGGTTATTTGTACCAAAATTCACAAATTCACACCAAGCTCTACACCAGTGTGGTACTTGAGTTAGTCTTAAACTTATATTTACGTTATATAAAAGGGCATACTATACTGTGTTGAATGACATATTAAAAGTTGATTTAAGTTTGCTTGGTTTGTGACAATATCACTCTGTTGAGAAAACTCAATTTTATTGCGATATTTAAAAAAAGAAAGTAACATAAAGTGCTTGCCACCACTTGCCTCCGCTAGGTAATTATTACTGATAATTCCTTAAAGCTTTGGGAACAATACCACATCACTTTTGGCTGCCTATATCTGCCTCATTAGAAGTTAAGGAATAAATTAATAAAATACTTCAATTTACATAGGAATTCCTTTTTTGAGTTGAAAAATTCTTAACCAGCCGTTTCAGCGGCAGCAAGAAAATTCCAGAAAGTTTATTTCCCTGTGTATTTTTGTACCACCCTAATCTGCATATGCATTAGTATACTCCTCTGCATTTACCAAAGTTTACATATCATCAACATATCGCCAACGTGTTGGTTTAGCTGAAATGTATTGCATAACTGAGTTTTGCTATCTGTCTCGTTACAATCAACGACATGCCGACAACGGATAATATAAACACGGCATACACGCTTCACTGGCTAGCTATTTGGCTGTATTACTTCGGCATTCGCTCCCTGCCGTTTGCTGATTTCCTTCTACTTCTACTTCGACTTGTACTATGTATCTACTTGTATTTGTTATGGTTACTCTTTGTAATCGTACTTGTACATACCTGTGTTAATTTTCCATTAACAATGCTCAGCGATTCCAATGATGCACGTACATGCCGCAAACTGTTATCCTTTAACGTTTCCAGGTGTGAGTGTGAAAATTGCAAATGCCTTATATTGACACCTGGTTGAAAGACATCCTGCGAAAGGGACGTGACCGAACGATCGAAGTCATAAATAGATAATGAATGTATTGGTGATGAGATGCGTTCGAGTGTGCTGCGCAACGACATGGCCGTCGTACCGGGACACTCGAGAAATAAGCCTGCGAAAGAAAACAAAAACAAACAATTGGGAATCGTATCATTCTCATAAACATACATACATAAATACATACATATGTACATTGTTGTTAATAAATATGTGATGTACATGTAGATTAGTTGATATGAGACATTTGCATTAACACGTTCGCGCCCATATCCTGCTGAATAGTTAGTTAATACATATGTAGTACCAGTTAATATGAGGCTCAGCTGTCAAAATACGCAAAGTGTTTTCTTACACATACAAAAGTGTGCGTTTTATTTCTACTAGTATTATGAAAACAATTCAATGCAGATTTTAGTTAATTTCTGGGGAAATCTGTATGATTGGATATCTTTCGAGCATACTTATAGATAGCAAGGTGTCATCCCATAAATGTTAATTTTATTGCGAAATCCGGTAGAATACGCATCCAGTAAAAATTTTTCTACGGAAATTTTTTTTCTTATATCGATAAACCCATATAAATGGGCGTGTCAGTTTTAGGACTAACATTAACGAAAAGAAGATTTTATTGTCGATTTCAGCAGAATATGGGGTTAATGTATCCTAATAAGCTTTTCCTTAATCTATATTAAATTTACTACAATTAAAAAAAAAATGTATCGGTATCATGATTTGCGTTTGAGATACAGCAAAAAGAAAAGCGAAAGGACATCGAGGACTGCCGTTCGCTGTGATCTAGTTTGCAGGACCTTTGCGTGCTCAAATCTGAAGTCTTTCCACATTTAACCTCGCAGCATTACAACGGCCGGAAATTCGCCACAGAGATCTACCAGTGGAAGATTTAAAATCATCCAGAATTAAACTTTTATGTAAGTAAATTATTTGCTTATAGGACATGGCTACTTAAATGTCTTTATGCGATGTTTTAAACTAGAAGACCATGTCTCTAAGTTTGAATGAAAGTGAAATTATTTGCGAGACGTATTTAAAGTAGACCCAGCACTAGGAAATATTGTAGCATATATCCCTTAATCATCAGAAATCGGGGATGCAGTATTTATCATGAACCGACTGAGAAGAAAACTCGTGGTAAGTTAGTTACTTAAGTATCTCGATTTATGCGGCCGATTAGGTTGTACATTTTATGAACGTAAGTGACTATCTAAATTAACTTCTTCATTACCGTAGGAGGGCTAATTAAGTTAAAGATTGGTACCCCAACTTTTTTTACGTAATATGTATGTGCATCTTTGATTCATTATCCTAAAAAAAAAAAAAACATAAATGCAATGTACTTACCATCTTCGAATTTGTAGCAAGGACACGCCGAATTTTCATCGAAGCTTGGACATTCAATGCTGTTATGATTGCTGCCATTTCCATCCGCCGAATTGTGAAAGCCTACACCACTGCCACTGCCGCCCGCGCCTAGACTGCTGCCGCCGAAACTACTACCGCTGCCGCCGCTACCGCTCACACCGCCACCACCAGCACTGCTAAGCGAGCGGATGGCACGGTGACGCGTTCGCCCACTAATAAACTTTTCGCTGCCGTCGTTTTTTTTATTGTTATTGTAGTTGTTGGAAATTTTGTTGTTCCAATGACTTTTGCTATATGCATCGTTGAGCCCGCTAGGTGCATTGCGAATGATTTTATTGTTGCTGTAGTGATTTCTTGCTGCTGCTATTGGCGATTGTGAGGTTGTTGTTGCTATTGCCGCTGCTGCCATTTCCTCAGGCAACAACTCATTTACTAAGTGCACATAACTCGCCGATTGCGTATTCTTCACGCTACTACTGCTGCTGATGGGCGCCATTGGTTTCGTATGCAACTCACTTTCCTCGAAGTTGGACGTTGTTGTTGTTATTATAATGGCTGTGGGCTGTGTTGTCTCTGATGATGACAGCAATGCGACGGATGTGAATGTTTGCATTGCTGTTGGCAATGTTGTTGACACTGTCCGCTCCAGCGTTCGCAACGCGGTCTTTACTGCTGCTGTGGCATTTGATGCGGTTGTGGAATTTACGCTTGTCGCGGTTGAAGGAATGATGACGTTTCTGATAGCAAAGTTGGCGATGAGGGAGAACTTGCTGCTATTGCTGGTCACGATGTTGTCATCACTTCCAATTGCTGGCGGCATCATCGTTAAGTCGGTTGCGCGTGTTGTCCTTGTTGTTGTTGTGGTTGTGGCTGTAGTTGTTATAGCGTGTGCTAATGTTTTTGTTGTTGCTGTTACTGTGAAAGTTGCTGCTGCTGCTGCTGCTGCTGCTGTTCGTGTTGTTGTTATTGTTGATGTTGCTGAGGTCTGAGGTTTTGTATTCGTTGCAGAGGGCAGTGACAGGCAAATGACGAGCAAAAGGCAAAAGCGCAACCATTGCTGTTGGTGTAGGTGTTGTTGCTGTTTCAGCATCGAGCGAAGGCGGGCGGACAAGGACACATAGTCCGGCGCGGAGCAGCGTTGCCGTTGCCACAGATAATGCTGCCAATTTTGCTGTTGCTGCTGAGGCATGTGGATGGCATAGTAACGGCTTAACTGTTGTTGTTGGCGCACTTGACAATGTCGTTGCCATTGCATTTGTGTTTGATGTGCTTGTTGGGTTTGCTTTTGATTTCGACTTAAAGTTCGTTGCGCAACGGGGATATTGATGTTTGTTGTTTTGTTTTTGTTGTGCTTGTCATGTTGATGACGCTGGCGGCACTTACTGCTGTCAAGTTTCAGCTTTGCCATTTGCTTTGATTGTAAATCCATCGGAGTCGGCGCGGCAATTGCAGTTGTTTGCTGTGCTGCACCTACCGCCGTTGTTGTTGTCGTCGTAAATAAACCAACATTCGCTGAAAGGATCGACGGCCATAACGACGTCCACTCTGACGTCCATGCTGTCGACTCCTTTGCTCTCGCTTTATCTGTGCCCGGTGCTATTGTTGTTGCTTGAGTATGGCTTAATGTTATTGCTGTTACTGTTGCACTCATTGCTCCTATGGGCACTTTGAAAGCTTTAATGGTTGAATTTCTTGTTTTTGCTGTTTCTGTGATTGCTCTAGGCGCAGTTTAACAGTGTCAAACCCGTGTCGCCTTGCAATAAACTTAATGCTGCTTGCAACACTCAACCTACAATTGCTGCTACTGTTTGTCATTCATGATGATTATCTTGCCGCTTGCCGTCGCTTACAGTTGTATGTATGTGTGTGTGTGTGTAATCTCTGCAATGCAATATCGCCCCGGTCACCTGTTTTGTGTCGCTGCCAGTAATCACTTTGCGGCTGCTCTTTGGTATGTGATTCGAAACAATTGCCTTGGAGTGATTTGGTATTTACTGTTAATATTTGCTGTCACATACTTGGGTTCTTGCCAGTGGAATTAATCTCGATTTGTGTATATGTCTCGGACTGATTCGTCGCATTGCTGAGTGATTACCACTGAGGCGTTGAAAGGTGGAAATTCACTTGAAATTGCGATACGCGCATCGAAGTAATGGATATCTGAAAGAAAAGAGTAGACCAAATTTACTCAGTATTTCCAATTTATTAAATTTCATTTATAGCTGTATAAATATATATAAAAGAAAGTTCGCATACAAATATATTCCTGTACTTGTATCTCAGCTCGAGATATTTGTGTTACAATAATGTAAAATACATACTCGTTTTCCACATGATTTTTTCGATGTTGACGCTGTTCTTTTTTGTCTGCTGCTTTTTGCAGCAGCTGACAGCGACACGAAAGCGTCAAAGATGAGGAAGAAAACTAGCATAACATTAAATCTATACAAAAAATTTGGTTGGTCAACTCAGAACTACATATTACCCAAACAAACCGAATTTCAAGTCGATAGCATCAAAAACATTGAGGAACCGAAATTCTAAGTTCTTCTGGTACCGTTTTTCGATTGTTTGGAATCGAGTTTCGGCTTTTTCCGGAACCGTTTTTCGGTTCTTTTGGAATCAAGTTTAGGTTCTTCTGGAACCGGTCCTCGGTTCTTTCGGAATCGAGTTTCTGTTCTTCCGGTATCGTTTTCCGGTTCTTTTGGAATCTATATTCGGTTTTTTTTAATCGAGTTTTGGTGTCGTTAGGTTAGGAAGGCGCGTACGAATGACTCCTTTTTCCACTCCAAGGCAGATTTGGCCATTATGAATGCCCTCTGTGAGCGCCAGGAGGAGACACATCCTTCTAAACGAGGTTAATCTAAATCTATAACATCAATATAAAGTCTGTCAAACCATTTACTATCCCGGACGAAGCCGTAGATGTTCGATCTTTTCAACTCCGCTAGCTTCCCCAAGCTATTGAAAAAACGTGATTTCAAATGCTTGATACGCCTTGTCTGGAGAGCTGGGCTTGACATAAGAAGTAGTGAATCGGTTCATCTTCATCCACATTCCGACAACTTCTGCAGATGGAGCTTGTTGGTATACGTTATCGAGGGAGCATTGGTGCTATAACATAGTGCCCTGTGATGACACCGGTAAGAGCGTTAACTGCAGATTTGTCAATAGTTCCTCAGTACGAATCTTATTGAGCCTCATCCACAAAGATCTTGTGACCTCACAGTCGTCCCGATTCATCCACAGGTTAGTGGTTACTGCTCTGGTGTTTTCTTTAAAAAAGCCATCTTGTCGGATATTTCGTTCCCTTCTAATATTGCTATGTCCACGAACCCAGCAGAGAGAGATTGTGGCGTGACTCAGTGAAGCCAGCATTGCACGACATTTCCGAAATGCTGTCAACGAATATAGTGGCGTTCCCTGACAGATACTCACTATCCCTAATAAGACAAGCCGCCTTCTCTATGCCAAATATCTCCGCCTGAAAGACACTGCAGTTATTAGGCAGGCGCTATGATTGCTTTATTTGAAGGTCTTAGGAGTACGGACCTGAGCCGACCCTTTTTCCATCTTAGAGCCATCGGAAATACCATCATTTACCGATAGGAGGCCTCATTCACATTCCCAATCTTCCCGGGTTGGGAATTGTATGGGAATCTTAAAACTAAAATCCAAGGATGACTTGAGGTAATTAGTTTCGACCTCTAAGTCGGCCTTAATTCCGTTACGTCGCCCACTATTAATTACCTTCAAGACCGCCGCGTGCGTGTAGTTGGTCTGATTAGGTTCCCTCAGTCTAAGGGCACCTCTAGCGGCTGCACCTGTTACGAATATTTGTGGTGGCTTCAGGTAAAAGCTCATGTTCAGCCCTTCTTGCGGCGCGTTTCTCCAGGCACCTTATATACCGAGACTTGCGAGTATCTGCACTCTTCCAATTGTTCTCTGATTGCTGCTCTTATCTAGTGCTTTCCACCAGACCAGCGCTCTATAGGTTAAACTCCGTCGGATGACATATCGGGAATAATATGCGCCGACAGTCCCCAGTTATTCCCAAAGGCCCTTTTACAGGTATAGTAGTTAACTCCTAGCCCATTTTGTTTTGCCCGTTGTTTTGTCCATTAGAACCGTTTTGGAATCCAGATTCGGTTCTGCTAAAACTGTTTTTCGGTTCCTTCGTTCAATGCTTCACTAGTATTTACTACCGCTAGGTGGGCAGGCATTCCCACTTAACCGAAGCAACTTAAACTAATAGTTGGCCAATGACTGTCACTCTTACCAAAAATTGGTACTTTGGACTAAGTAGGCAATTGAGGAATAAGCCTTCTCTAAGCGAAGGAAAACCACACTGTGTAAGTATTTTATGAAGCCGCTACTGATGTACGGCGTGTTCAAGATAAATACGCGGATCCCACTAATTGTGGTTTAAGAAAAGGCAGCCCTTCTTTACGTTATAACGATCGGTAGGAAAGGGACTTACTTTCCCACGGTGTTGCTATTGAGTACCAAAATGTCGGTTACTTTTTCCCACTTTCGTAAGCGACCTATTCTGGGAAAGTTACACTAATTTATTTTTGTAGCCATTAAAGTGGGCAAGAGCACATACCTGCCCGAGGGAAGCAGCGGAAACCTTAACAGGGATACCAGCCATACTAATTGAAAAAAGGGGCTTGCTGAAGCACTTTACGACTCCGCAACTTAGCTAGGAATGGAGACATTTGGGCGCACTTGGTTAAATTAAAACTACTCTTTGACGATCATATCGCTAAGCTCACAGACAAAATTCTACCGAAATTATCCTTCAGCACGTCCTACAAGGTAATATTTCCTGAAAGGAACATTTGTTAAAAGTTAATCACAACGATTGATCTAGGTATACTGATGGGTGAAATCACGAGGACGGAAATGCTGGAATCAGCGTATTTGGGGCTAGGTTCAAAAACATTGCACTAATGGGTATATATTCAACAATATTTTCGACGGAGAAAGACAAGCGTGGCGAAAATAAATGTCATTTTCAATAGTCAGGAAGCTTTAAAAAGCCCTAGAGTCATTCAAAACTGAACCCACACCAGGGAGAGCTTTTGGCGCGTACCGGAACTTGAGGATTTTGTTGGCAACGAAGGCTGTAGTTCATATAATCTACAAGTAAATGGAAGGAATCTCAGTTCGCCTCACAATGGCGAATGAAAAAGGGAAAAGCTACATATGTTAGATTCCCTCTAGAGGAATCTCAGAACGACTTCTGAATTTTAGTTGGAAGGGCCTGGGGACTTTCAGAGGATAAATGACAGCACACTGCAAGTTCACATACCAACATGACAAGATGGGACTTTCCGCAGACATGGACTGCTGGCTTAGCGTTATGGCACTATCACTTCAATAGAATAGTGGCAAAAAACTATGATTTTTACAAACGTCAATACGTCTGAAATATATCCAAAGTATTCACTATGGATTAAAGAAAACAAATTATAATAGCAAAGTCAGAGCTTCACGAATACCGATTAAGAGCAGCTCAACTTATTTATATAATTTTTATTTTGGCTGCAATTTAGTTTGGCATCCCCGGAGTTCGGCATTAAGAAGGGTATGGAACGATAGAGGGAGTTCTCCTGATTGTAAATATATATACTTTTAGCCGCAGCAGACTTATAGTTTTTAAGTTATTTGTTGTTAAAGTTAGTAAATTGAACTAACCTCTCGACGCTATTTCACACAATAAACACTTTATTTATGTACACACTTCGGCAAAATAGTTGCATTAAAAGCCCGCACAATGAAATGTAAACATATTTTTTAAATTTATAATGTATTTTTACTAAATTAAGTAAGTTTTAACAATTATCACGCACTTATATATGTATACGAACATTGTGAATACAGAACTGTTGATTCAACCATGGTTTCACACTGACATTAGAAGGGTGCTGCCACATCTAACAAAATAACACCACACATCTAATAAATAAATATGTTTTTTTAAACCATATTTTAAAAAGTGAAAATTTTTAATAAAAAATCGCGCGATTTTTTATTAAAAATTTTCGCCTGCGGCGCTTTTTCCATAAAATCAATACTTCGATAAATGAAAATTTTTAATAAAAAATCGCGCGATTTTTTATTAAAAATTTTCGCCTGCGGCGCTTTTTCCATAAAAATCAATACTTCGATAAATAATGAAAATTTTTATTTTTTATTAAAAATTTTCGCCTGCGGCGCTTGTAATTTTTTTTTTATATATTGGGGGTGTTTAACCCCATACCCTCCTTTACTACTAATTCAACGCTGAACAGGAAAACGGGTACGATAAAAACTATTACCTTTTATTGTTATTTTGTTAGATGTGGCAGCACCCTTCTAATGTCAGTGTGAAACTATGGTTGAATCAACAGTTCTGTATTCACAATGTGCGTATACATATATAAGTGCGTGATAATTGTTAAAACTTACTTAATTTAGTAAAAATACATCATAAATTTAAAAAATATGTTTACATTTCATTGTGCGGGCTTTTAATGCAACTATTTTGCCGGAGTGTGTTCATAAATAAAGTGTTTGTTGTGTGAAATAGCGCCGAGAGGTTAGTTCAATTTACTAACTTTAACAACAAATAACTTAAAAACTATAAGTCTGCTGCGGCTAAAAGTATATATATTTGGAATCAGGAGAACGCCCCCCTACCCCCCTATAGCAACCTTTTTTTTGTACGCGGGGGATGCCAAACTAAAATTTTCCCTTTATTTTTTGTGCATTTGCAAGCGTAGAAGCATAAATTGCAAGGATATTTGGCAATGTTGCAGCCAGCCATGCTATTCCTCCAGTTTCAACTGAACGCGCTAAAAGCATTTCATTTTTTATTTTCGTTTGACAAGCATTTCCTAACCGTCAACTTCCGCACCAACACAACATTTGACTCGTTCATTATTCTCACTTGCATGGAATATCCGCTGCATTCTTTCGTCCTCCGCCCCAGGGCGTCAAGCTGCCAAACCAAGTTGTACTATGTATGTTATTGTAGTTGTCGTACTATTGTTTATGCTTTTGCTTCTTTTTCCGTGGCTTAAAAAAGTGAACGCCAACAGATTTTTGTTGAGTGAGCGCAAGTGCACACAAACGGGTAGAACGGCTGTTAGATGATCAGCCAGTTAGAATAT